TCTCCTGGCAGGAGGGGCCCAGAGCTGCCCCAGCCCTGGAGGTGCCCCAGCAGTGCCAGCCCAGGGGACGGGCACTTCCCAATCCAATCCCTGCTCAGCAGCTCGCCTTTCCTACACCTGGTAACGTGGGATATTTGTGGATTTGTTCTATTTTCCTCCTTCCTGCTGTGGGGTAGGACTGAACGTAGCTCCGAGCTGCCTGGCACAAGGGTGGTGCTGCCAGCCCAGGTGCTGCCAGCCCTGCCCTTCACATTTCTCACCCCTGCTTGTCCTGTGCTTTCTTCCAGACCATTTCAATTGTCTACATAGTGACAGCCTTTGTGGGAGTTGAGGCCTGGTATGCACCTTTCCTGTTTAATTTCTTATATAGAGACCTATTCACTGCAATGATTATTGGTAAGAAACTCCATGTTGAAGCCTGTCTTTTAAAACTGCAACCTTTTTTCCCAAACCCCCTGCTAACGACCTGCTAACACTGCTGTGTTTGGGGCTGTTGCTGAAGTGACTGATTGAGGGTGTTCTCACAGCCTGAAAACCTTTCCCAGGATTTCAAAACAGGATTGTCTCCTGCAGAGTTATTTCGGAGAACTTAAAACTGACTTCACTCCAGAGAAGCTTAGTTTGTCCTCAGCGAGAGCCTGGGGGTAAAACCAGTGTGGCAAACCCAGAGTTTCCAGGGGATGAAGAAGCCCAGTGGGTGGGTGGTGGGACCTGGCTCCCAGCGGAGCCTCCCCAGCCCTGGGCTGCTTTGGAGGGGTCAGGAAATTTTTGTTGTGCTGCTCTGGTGCTGCCTGTCACCCCAGAGCCCAAACACTGCGTGGGAGGGAGGTTGCAGCCATGCAGGTGGGTGGGAGCTCTGCTGGTTGGGGATCTTGCCCTCCATCCACCCACCTAAACATTACATCATAATAATAATAATAAAATTTAAATAAAGACCCAGCCTCTCTCTCCTGTGGTCAGTGAAAATAAACCACTGCAAAGGGTAGAGCCCAGCTGATGTTCAGTTCCACTCAACTAATTCACAAGTTCTGCTCAGTTTATTTTCTGTGTCCCTTCAGGTGTTCTTTGTCAGTGCTTAATTTCGAGTTAATTGCTGTGTTAAATGTACTTCTTGCAGTTTTATGGGGTGGATGTTCCCAGCTTTCCTTTGACAGCCGTGTGACTTAACATGAATAATGAATGTGCTTTTCCTATATGAGAAATTGAGCCCAGTTCCCACACGGGGGAGAGGAGCTGGGTTATTAAAACAGGAATATTTCCAGCCCTGTTCACACACCTTCTGCTGGATAAACAGGGAAAGAGTTGTGCTGGAATATCGTGGAATAGATGGTTCTGATTTAGGTCAGGATTTTTCAGTTATTTGGGTGCTTTGTGTCATTTATCCAGTTAAATTACAACTTTTTGGCAACGTGGCCACTGGAAATGTCTGCCAGAGAAGCAGCAAACTGCCTTTCTTGTGGAAACTCTTGTGCTCAGCCATGTCATTTGAGGAGTGTGCACTCATGTCTCATTAGAGTTGTATTGTAATTAAGCTTTGTCACCGTTTAAAGCACAAAAAAAGCACCAAACCGATCTCCTTAATGCAGCCCTTTCAAATGGAAACGTCTTCAACTCACAGCAGACTTTAACTTTTAATTGCAGCTCTGGGGCCAGACTTGGGAGCAGCTACTTCCAAACGTGCTGAGCTATTCCTGGGGCACCAGGAACTATTTTTGGTGCAGGGAATTTGAAGGAGAGCCCAGCCAGAGTCTCCTGTTTGGGGTGCATGGGGTGTCCCCTCTGCCCTGGGGCACTAACGTGGCACTTTTCTCTTCTCTTCCAGCCTGTGCCCTCACTGTGACCCTGCCCATGAGCCTGTACAACTTCTACAAGTGAGTTTTGTAGGATCTCAGGAAGGGTTTGGGTGGGAAGGAAGTGAGAAATTCCTCCAGTGCCACTCCCTGCCATGGCCAGGGACACTTCCCACTGTCCCAGGGAGCTTCAAGCTCTGTCCAGCCTGGCCTTGGGCACTGCCAGGGATCCAGGGGCAGCCACAGCTTCTTTGGGCACCCTGTGCCAGGGTCTCACCACCCTCACAACCAAGAATTCCTAATTCCCAATATCCCATCCATCCCTGCCCTCTGGCCGAGGGAAATCATTCCCCCTTTTCCTGTCACTCCAGTCCCTCTGCAGCTCTCTTGGAACCCCTTCAGGTACTTCCTGCAGGCAGCCCCAGGGATTTCTCAGTCATTCCATCTCTTTTCATTTCTCTGCTTGTGTTCCAGGGCCTATAAAAACAACACCTTGAAGCACCACTCCGCCTACGAAATCCTGCTGCCCCTGGTGTCCCCGGTGCTGCTGTTCCTGCTCTGCACCACCTGGATCTTCCTGTCCCCCTCTGACATCCTGGAGGTCCAGCCCAGGCTCTTCTATTTCATGGTTGGAACAGCCTTTGCCAACATCTCTGTAAGAGCTGCTGCTTTACGCTTGAGGAAGTGGAGAATTGGTTAAATTGAGTTTTCACGTGTTGCTGTGAGCAGCAGAGTGCAGATGGGAGACGAGTTCCTGCCTCCTTTTGGGGATAAACTTAAAATGGGAGGGCTAAATTTTTGGTCAGAATTTAATTTAGCTGCATAGTGGTAGAATCATGGGATTGTTAAGGTTGGAAAACCCCCTGAGGAGACCACCGAGTCCAACTGTCCCCCAGCACTGCCGAGGTCACCCTGCTCCATGTCCCCAGATGCCACATCCAGAGGGCTTTTAAATCCCTCCAGGGATGAGATTCCACCACTGCCCTGGGCCTTTTCCAATGTTTAACAGCCAGGAATTCCTGCTGCTGCCCACCCTGAGCCTGCCCTG